TTTAAGAAGAATTTGAGTTGTTTTGCCGTCTTTAATGCGGTTTTCAATCAAAAATACGCCAGGAAATGAACTTGATGAAAATAATAACCAGTTTCGATCAAAACATTCGTTAGGAATGGTTTTTCCATTGTTTAAGCTGAATTTGATGGGTTAAACGCGTATTACAAGCCATATTTTCATTTGGAAGTGACGTTATTCCAGATAATGCGAAAATAATTCTATCACAATAATTTCGAAAAAATTTACTTTTTTGATAGAGAAACAGTCTAAAATGCAATTTTAAGAAGAATTTGAGTTGTTTGCCGTCTTTATGCGGTTTTCAATCAAAAATACGCCAGGCAATGAACTTGATGGAAATAATCACCAGTTTCGATCAAAACATTCGTTAGGAATGGTTTTTTCCATTTTTAAGCTTGAATTTGAAGGTTAAACGCGTATTTCAAGCCATATTTTCATTTGTAAGTGAAGTTATTCCAGATAATGCGAAAATAATTCTATCTCACAATAATTTCGAAAAAATTTACTTTTTTGATAGAGAAACAGTCTAAAATGCAATTTAAGAAGACTTTGAGTTGTTTTGCCGTCTTTAATGCGGTTTTCAATCAAAAATACGCCAGGAAAAGAACTTGATGAAAATAATCACCAGTTTCGATCAAAACATTCGTTAGAATGGTTTTTCCATTGTTTTAAGCTTGAATTTGATGGTTAAACGCGTATTTCAAGCCATATTTTCATTTGGAAGTGAAGTTATTCCAGATAATGCGAAAATAATTCCTATCTCACAATAATTTCGAAAAAATTTACTTTTTGATAGAGAAACAGTCTAAATGCAATTTTAAGAAGACTTGAGTTGTTTTGCCGTCTTTAATGCGGTTTTCAATCAAAAATACGCCAGGAAATGAACTTGATGAAAATAATCACCAGTTTCGATCACAACATTCGTTAGGAATGGTTTTTCCATGTTTTAAGCTTGAATTTGATGGTTAAACCGGTATTTCAAGCCATATTTTCATTTGGAAGTGAAGTTATTCCAGATAATGCGAAAATAATTCTATCTCACATAATTCGAAAAAATTTACTTTTTTGATAGAGAAACAGTCTAAAATGCAATTTTAAGAAGAATTTGAGTTGTTTTGCCGTCTTTAATGCGGTTTTCAATCAAAAATACGCCAGGAAATGAACTTGATAAAAATAATCACGTTTCGATCAAAACATTCGTTAGGAATGGTTTTTCCATTGTTTTAAGCTTGAATTTGATGGTTAAACGCGTATTTCAAGCCATATTTTCATTTGGAAGTGAGTACCTTTTTATGAGTGTGCAAAGTGAAAATTCAGTTTTCCATTTTTAATCAGTAGCGGTATAAAATAATGGTCATCAACTTCAAGCATTTTTTTT